TCAACCTTCATGTCTAAATAATCATCAAAAACTTCAATCTACAAATTTGGTCTAAACTTCCCTTCCCTAGGTCCTTACCTCTCACCCTCAACCTGCACAAAAACAAACTCAAAATGGATTAAAGATCAGTCAACAAATACATGAAAAAAATGTTCAACATCACTAGTAATTAGGGAAATGCAAATCAAAACTACTTAAATATTTCATCTCACTCCAGTCAGAATGGCAATTATCAAGAATACAAAGCAACAGTAAGTGTTGGTGAAGATGTGGGGAAAAAGGTACACTCATACATTGCTGGTGGCACTGCAAATTGGTGCAACCACTCTGGAAAGCAGTATGGAGATTCCTTGGAAAACTTGGAATAGAAACACTATTTGACCCAGCCATCCCACTTCCTCAGTCTATACCCAAAGGACTTAAAATCAGCATACTATAGTGAAACAGTCATATCAATGTTCATAGCAGCTCAGTTCACAATAACTAAATGTGGAAGCAACCTAGATGCCCTTCAAGATGAATGGATAAAGAAATTGTGGTATATATACACAATGGAATATTACTAAGTATTAAAAGAGAATAAAATTATGGCATTTGCAGGTAAATGGATGTTGGAGAATATCATGCTAAGCCAAGAAGGGCAATCCCCCAAAACTAAAGGCTTAATCTTCTCTCTGATAAATGGATGCTAATCCATAATGGGGGGGCATGGGAAAAAAGGAAGAACTTTGATTGGACAAAGGGGAAGGAGAGGAGAGAAGTGAGCATGGGAGCAAGAAAGATTGTGGAATGAGATAGACATCATTACCCTACGTACATGTATGACTGCAAATATAGTGTAACACCCCATCATGTACAACCAGAAAAATGAAAAGTTGTGCTCCATTTGTGTACAATGAATCAAAATGTATTCTTCTGTCATATAGACCTAATTAAAATAAATAAATAAATCATTTTTTAAAAAATAAGAATAATAAAGGAAGCATTACAAGACATTAAAAAATAGATCAAAGACCTAGGAATTGGATCAGAAACTATGCAACACCTATAAAAAAATATAGGGTCAACACTCCAACATAAAGGTGCAGGTAACAACTTCCTCAATAGGACTCTTAAAGCTCAAGAAATAATATATTGGAAATACAAAAGAAAGCTTATTAAGAAATGAGACAGCATGAAATTAAAAAGCCACAGCAAAGTAAACAAGAATGTGCAGAACCTTCAGAATGGGAGAAAATCTTTGCCAGCTACTCTTCCAACAGAGGATTTATATCAAAAGTATATAAAAAACTAAAAAAAACCCAATACCATAAAACAAATATCCCAATTAATAAATAGGCAAATGAACTAAGCAGACACTTCTCAAAAGAAGAAATGCAAATGACCAGCAAATATATAAAATTTGTTCAACATCTTCAGTATTAGGGAAATACAAATCAAAACTACACTAAGATTTCATCTCACTCCTATTAGAATGGCAGTAATCAAGAATACAAACAATAACAAATGCTGGAGAGAATATGAACACTGTTGGTGAGACTGTAAATTATAGCAACCACTATAGAAATCAGTTTGGAGGTTCCCGGAAAGTCCAGGAAAGGAACCATCATATGACTCAATTATACCACTCCTTGGTATTTGTCCTAAAGAATTAAAGTTATCATACTTTAGCAATACATGCATACCCATGTTTACATTGATACAATTCACAATAGCCAAACTATGGGACAGCCTAGATATCTGTCAATTGATGAATGAATAGGGAAAATATTATATATATATAATGTTTTATTTAGTGACAGAGAAACATAAAATTATGTCTATTTGCAGAGAAATAGACAAACCTGAGAATATTATGTTAAGCAAGATAAACCAAACTCATAAACAAGGGCTGTATGCTTTCTTTATGTGGAAACTAAAGAGGAAAAAGGAAAATAAAAGGGCAGGGGTGGTGGGAGTCCTATGAAAAGTGAAGGGAGACCAGTAGAGTAGAGGAAGGTGACCTGGGGGAAGGAGGAGGGATGGAAAAGGGGAAATACTGGAGAACTATATTGACCAAATTGTTATATTGTATCCATTTATATATCCAATAATAAATCCTACCATTATATATAATTATAATGCACCAATAAAAAATTAAATTTTTAAAAAACTGTCCCTTGCTTCTCCAAGGCAATTTAGAACTAATGAGATATCCCTGGAATTGGACTCACAAACTCCAGGCTGGTTTTCTGCCCTCCAATATCACTTTACAGATAAAACTGCCAAAAAAAATTATATTATAACCTCAGTAGAATGACAGAAGCCATATAATTTGTATAAAATTCACAATCTTTGATGGCTTCTAGTGGCCTGCAACTGATACCTAATAATTATTTGTGGCCTCAAAAGCTGTGTCACTATCTCTTTGCAGATACCATGAATCCGGGGGCTTAAATGAGGGGGAAAGATTTAACATTAGATTAGTGTGCAAGCAGAGGTATATTAAGAACACAGTAGCCTCTCCTGGGTCTTTTTTAACAAGATAAGTAAGAGAGGGGATGAGGGGACAGGAAAACAAGAAACAAGTGATGGGGAGACAATTAACTTTCAAATCTAAGAAAAATATCCTAACTTCTAAGTAGAGGCCTGTTTTCCTAAAGAAGAAACAAAGATGAGATGAAGGAGGAAATAAAATTATGCTTTGTCCATAATGTTATCTCAGTTATTCATCCCAACAACACCAGGTGGTAGTCGCTATTATTCCCACTTTCACAATTAAAAAGTCGAGGTTTGAAGATGTGACAATCTGCCTAATATTATATAATGAAATTTTGGTGGAAAAATTATTATTCTAACCCAGTCTTGCTTATCCCAACACTGATCTTATTTCATATATATATATGCTAATGGCTGAAAGAAAAACTGAAAGCTCTGTTGGGGCTGTTTCTCAAAGCCAATCGATGACCTCACTCAAGAGTTCTCATGAATGCCTTCTCCACATGCCAGGATCCCTATAGATCCCTTTCATGCATCTCATCTCTGATATACTACTCAGGCTCCATGGGAGCTTTCTAAGTGAATGTGCTGCATGATTTTCTCTGCCTGTTTTACTTAAGCAAGGGAAGGGATCTGAAAGCACATGGATTCATTCTTCATGGCCATTATTCTCAGCAACCAACTATGACTCTTGATTGCCTCACCACTGTTACTTAAGAGCAATAACATGTCCAGATAAATTCAGTGACTGGTGGCAAAGTTACTACACATCTATGTTTCCTGACATATTTTTTTTCCTTTCATCCTGTTCTTTTCATGTTAGGAAAAGAGAAAAAAAAGCTTCTTGTTCAGAGGTCTTTCCAAATATAAATATAACAAGCCATTATTCTCTAGGCAGGATTAAAAGAAGTTGCTCTTTGCTGGAATCCTTTGCCATGCTGTTACTACACCATATTGTTCCTGTCTCTTCTGCCCACCCTTTGACCATTAACCATTCTTCATTATTTACCTTAGTGTGGTTTAATTGTAATGGAATGTTTTGTAGTTTTTTTTTCATCTATTTCTTTCCTTTTCACTTTGCCATGTTCTTTTGGCAAGCATTTACTGAATATCTACTGTGTGTCAAGCTCTGTGTCAGCAGCTGATTCTCATCATTTCACTTCTGACAATCACAATTACTTCCAAATGGATCTCCCTGCTTCAACTTTTTCCTTGAATTCACCTAATTCAGCCTGTTGCCAAACCATTCTTTATAAAGCTTTGCTTTAACAAACAGCACATCTACCCATTTCTTCACAGAATTAAGTCCCTATATATTAGCTCTTTTCTTTATGCCCTCTGGATACTTCTTAGACTTTGTTTTTTTTCTTCTTTCACATACATTCTGCAGTTTAGTATATTCTACTCATTTGCCCCCTAGCATGCCATATGTATTTCCACCACTGTGACTTAGAGCTCTTTTAAAAAATTTCCAAATCCTATTCCATATTCACTTACTAAGTGGTTTGGAGCAAACTCCATTCCTGGGGTGGCAAAGATTCCTTAACTAATAAGTTTTAATTAAGGAGGAGAACTGACCTAATCTCATCTCTAAGAGGAGGCTAAATGTCCTAGAGTTAGGAATGAGAAACAATGCTAACCACATCTGTCCAGCAATGTCCAACTACATGAGGAACTTCAGGCTCTTAAACCACAGTATGGCTGGATAATGAGTTTCTTAAGCAACCTCGCTAAAGTCCCAGGATGAGAGATCCAATCAACTCTTCCATTTGCTCAATCAACAAAACAGTTTTTGTTCATCACCTATGTACTAGGCATTGTGATGAGTACTTGGGAATAGGAATGGGTAAGAGAAATAGATTTCTGCCCTCATAGGAATTTTAGCCTCATAGCATATAAACAAGTGTCATGAGTAAATAAGATAATAAAAATATGGGTGTTAAAAAAGAGAAATAAAGTGTTATAATGCACCAGAGTAAGATGTGCTACTGGAAGTAGGAGGTACTATCAGTCAAAGGTCTCTTTATGAAAAATAAAAGTGACATTCCAGACTCCTGAATAGCAAGCACACAGGCTCAATACACATGCACATATACACACATGCACTTACACACACACACACACACACACACACACACACATCAATGCCAATGCAGGCTGATAACTTCAATGGCTTGGGTCTTATGTGTATTTTACTTGCCCACTGGGAACATGCATCCAGCTCATGCAATCATAACCAAAACAGCTTCCCTTTTGAGTATACACATAGTTTATGGTTTTAGTTATACTTAAAATTTTTAGTTTGTGGATCTCTCAGTGACAAAGATTTAAATCCTACCCACATATTTTTTCTACTTTGCTAGCAAAGTTATTTATTTCCAACTTAAATACATAATATTTCTAAAATACAATATAGCACTCTAGTGATACTCATAACTCTGCATATTAAAAATAACTGCCTTTTACTTTTTAAAGATGGTATATAACAGCTCTCAACAAAATCTAGAAAATGCTTTCCTTACCTCGTTGATTAACTGGGTCTTTAGCTACATAGGCAACATAGTCTGTAGTATCCTATAAAAAAGGGGGGAAAAGATTACATTTTAATGGGAAACATTTTTTTAAGAAATAAATTTTTTATTTTAGAGAAAAATAGATATAATAGCCTATTATTGTATAGATTATAGATTGATTTTAGGCCTGTACTGTATGTGGAAAGGAAAAGAATATTGGACAATATAAGCAATTTGACATATATATACTACATGAAGAAAAATGGACAAAATATATTCAAAGAAAAAATCTATTAAATTGTATGTCCTCTTCTATATCATGTGAAGAACACCACGACAGTTTTTCTACTTTATTTAAATGATATGCTGCATACATATATTTGAAGTGCCTGCACATCTAGATATAACTGCATCTGGACTCAACTTTTAGCTCATTGTTTATGGTTAAATAAGGCCCATCATTAAACTTCAAAGTTCAACAGTGAAAAAAAAAAGGATTACATTTTAAGTTAATGAATTGTACCATCAAAAGATAAGAATACATTTAGGACATGATACTGAAGCAAGGACTTAAATATGAATGTTTTTATTTCAAGAAAAAAAAGCTTTGCAGAAGGGACTACAATATATACTACACAATTTAACAATTATGGAGCCCATATTCTCTGTCCCTTGGGGAAAGAATTTGAAGATTAAAAATTTAGAGGCAGATTATGTCATTAAGAATAAAAAACAGAATTCAGGTAGGTGCTATGTTAGGACATATTCATTGAAAATATCTGGGTGCTATAACTCCTATGTTGAAAATTGAAATATTAGGAATTATTCAATCACAAAGGTGTCATAAATGAGGATGTAGCATTGTGATTTCTCTGTTGTCCAAATAGATATGATGTACATCAGAAAATAAACAGATTAAAAGACATGTTGAGTTTTGTGTCTGTTAGCTTGCATGTATGCAGTGCAAGCTAACTTAAGGAATAATAAAACAAAAATACAATATATTTATTTGATCAATACATAGACAAAAATCTTTTTTAAAAAAAGAGAACGCATGAAAAACTTAAGTTCAAAAAGACATGTGCTACCAACTGTAAAAATAAACACAGAAAAAGCTACTTCACAATTCCAGCTTTTACTGAAAACAGTAACCTGACGAATGGTAAGATTTTAATAATTAAAGATGCTTTTTGTTATCTCTATTCTTGGGAAAAAATACGTACAATGCAGATTAAAAGTATGACTCTCTAGAGGAAAGATGCAATCAACTGGCAGGAAATAAAAATCCATGTTTGTAATACCCTCAAGGACAATCACTTAATAACTCACAGTGATTCATACAGGAAGTAGATAGCAGGGTCAGCATAACTCGTCTTGGGTTATTTTTAAAAATAACATACACCTAAATAAATTTTTCATGCAAAAAGAAAAAAAAAGATTTGAAATATATTCTAAGTAAATGAGGTTGTATATATGAGCTTTGTTTTATATTAACTTAGAAGAATAAAAACTGCTGAAGACCCTCTCATTAAGTTGAAGAAGTGGCATGATGCCAGCAATGTTGTCTGGTGCAATTGATGGGAAAGAGGTCATGGGACCTCTCCAGACCTCAGTTTTCCTCATCTTCAAAACAGTCCTCAACATTCTAATAACTTTAAAATCCTGTGAGCAAACATCTAGGAGAATTTGAAGAATGTTCAAAAGAATAACACAAATAGCACAGAAAATGGTGTATTTAAAATGGTGTATTTAATTTTTGACATACTCGCAATGCATTTTTTAAATGTAGAAAGCACATAAGGCTTAGAAGCATTTCCATTCATAGCTGATAGAAGGAAAATAAACTTTTTTTTTAGAGGACAGAAAATATAAGAGTGAACAAAGGCCACAGGCAAGGAAGAATACTCAGTATTTTTGAAACGTGGAGAAAATCTGGTAGAAAGAAAATGGCTATGTTAGACCACAGGGACTTATAACTCAGCTTCCTACCTCTTGGACCCAGTTAGCTCTGAGAATCCTAAAACAATTATGGACATGTGTCAGTAATAGTTACCTTGTGACTATGTGCCAGGCACTGTGCTAGCATTTTACATATCATTTGACTGAAGTTTTGCAACACTGTGAGGCAATAGGGATCATTCCCAATCTTACGGCCAAGGACCCTGAACCTTAGGTTAAATAAATCAAGTAACCTGATTCCAACACCTAGCACTACACCACACTGTCTCCGAGACATAAGGATAAAACTTCAGTGGGGGTTTGTTAGTGCTGATGCTTAGGATGGATCCATATTACTATTTAAATCTGAATCAATAAGCTTTCTCTACAGCCACAGAGAGCATAAGGATTCCACTCAATTCAACAGGTACATGTTTTTTCACAGTGTGCTAGAGATTTTTTGCTGTTTGTTTTTGGTTCAGACAGTGCTTTGGTGAATTTAAAGAAGTAAAGAAGGGCTGGGGTTGTGGCTGAGTGGTAGAGCACTTGCCCAGCATATGCAAGGCACTGGGTTTAATTCTCAGCACCACATATAAATAAATAAATAAATTTAAGATCCATAAATAACTAAAAAATATACTTAAAAAAAGAACTAAAAAACAAAGGCACATAAAGAATAGATGAAAAGCCTTAAGATTCTGGAGAACAAGAACAGAAATCATGCAGGGCACACCTGAGTATAAATGAGGGTTTACACACTAATCCTAAAATGATAGCAACCCTTAAAACTTGAAAAGGGTATATTAGACCAAACACTAATAGTTATTTTTCACATTACACTTACAGAACACAAGACACAAGAAAAGTATGAGTTCCTTCATGGATGACCAAGCTATAATAAAAGAAAGGAGCTCATGCTGGTGGTTTTCAGTTTGGATTCACTGAGCCATCTCTGTTGTACCACCCTTCATGTCACTCCTGAGGATAGATTAAGGCTGGGTAAATCAAAGTCCAGAGCTACTTCTGGGCTCACATAGCAGCTGTAAAGCACCAGCCATCTTGCATGCCCTCTGTTTGCTAATAATTAGCTACCCATGACGTCTGGCAGGGTGGTGGGGGGAGCTCTTAAAATTTGGTTCATTTATATTTGGTATCATCATGGAATTAATATAGTCATTTGAAAATAAATGCACCCAAAAGTAAGGAAGCAGTGAAGCCTAAAAGGAAAAATTGCATATCTAAAAAATAATAAACAAATAAATAATAATCTTATAAAGGCTTTTTTTCTTTTATATGCTTCAAAGAAATTCGAAGGCAGATTGTCTTGGTTTATATGCTTAAATACTTTTGAGTCACTAGTAGCCAAAGCGAAGAAAAGTAATTCTGAATATTTTTAATGGATTAATTTAAATGGCACTTAGCTATATACTTTACACAAAAGAACGTTACATAAACAATGAAGTGGAAGAACCTGCTCAAATTCTTCAGTAACCAGTAAATCAATCAATGATCTACCTACAGTAACTTCCAGACTTTACATATCTATCACAGAGTTTAAACAAATTCAAAATATTGCAGTGATAACATCTGACAGATTTAGGTATTGTTTTATTTTTTAACTACCCTTTCATAGCTATCTTGGGTTTCCAGGTTATATGGCTCATCATATATGACTCTAAGTTTTATTCCTCAGTTAAAATCGAGAAACTGAGCCAGGTGTGGTGGCACCTGTGTGTAATCCCAGCAGCTCAGGAGGCTGAGGCAGGAGGATAACCAGTTCAAACCCAGCCTCAGCAACTTATCGAGGCCCAAAGCAACTTAGCAAGACTGTCTCAAAACAAATAAAAAGAGCTTGGGATATGGCTCAGTGGTTAAGTGCCCTTGGCTTCAATCTCTGGTTTAAATAAAAAGGGAGGGGTAAGAAACTGAATGGAATGGATAAATAAAAATGAGCATTTAATTGGCTCATTTCTCAAAGATATAATATTTAATAATACTATATTCTTACCCACCCAGAATGTATTATCTCCTCTGCAAAGTATTTGTTGTCTATTTGTGTTCTCCATTAGTTTTCTGGGTGTTATCAATGTTCATTATTTAAGTAATACTTTGCCCTGTTTTAACCTTCCAAATGTTTACAGGTACAAGAAAATGGCCAATAATATCACAGGGGAGCAAATTTATTCTTCTGTTCTCTCAGTTTAAACATTTGTTCCTTGTTCAGTCACATACTCCATAACTTCAATGCCCCTATTCAAAGACTCTAGGTCCAGTAACAGTGCAAGAGGGAGTGAAGGAATGACATTCCAATCCACAAAGTAGGCTTGGAGAGAGAATTAAGCATAATTTGTAGGAAATGAGCCCCACATTGGTGTTTTTTTTTTTGTGTGTGTGTGTGTGTGTGTGTGTGTGTGGTGCTAGGGATTGAACTCAGGGCCTTGTTCATGTGAGGCAAACACTCTACCAACTGAGCTATATCCCCAGCCCCACATGGTTTCTTGACAGAACATAATTATAAGTTCTCTGACCAGCTAAGGTTTTTCTCCATGGGTTTTTGCAAAACCATTCTAGATTAAGCCTTAGTTGATGGCCAGGATGGCAAATAGGCTTCATATATACCAAGTCCAGTTAATTAGTAGCCTGCCTAGAACTTTGTGTTGAGAAGAATTCTGAGAGCGAATTGACAACATAAATAGACATACTTGCTTTTCATAGTCTTGGATGCTATCAACAAGAAGCTTACCAGATGACAACTTCATGGCTAATAACACAATGAAGTACTGTTAGCTCATCTACTAATCCAAATATTTTTATATTCTGTAACAGAAAATATTTTGCCCAAGCCAAATTTGTATTACTTGTTACATGTAGCTATTCAAAATATAATAAGATATTTGGAAAAGACATATAGTGACTGATAGATTTTACAAGAAAGTTTTTTTAACTCATAAAAATAACTTATGAAGCCATACTTACAGGATCCCCTCCAGAAGCAAATGAAATTGATTGCATATGATGATTTGCAATAATCTGAAAAACATAAACAAACAAATATAATACTATAAATTATTATTCCTAGTTATGTATGGTCTAACAGTAATGGACATACATGTATCCATTTTGTTTTTACCTTCTTAGCATTCCTTTGGAAACCACCCCACCATATTCCATAATAATCCATTTTTTATTGCTTTTTGGTACTGGGAATTGAACTCAAAACCTTGCATATGCTAAACACATGTTCTGCCACTGAACCACACAACCCCTCTCCCAAATAATCTAATTCAAACCATTAGAGTCAGGTGATTTTGACATGCCCATATCACTGCCCCTCCCTACCTAGATGAACAAGATTCAGGTATATCCAATCAGATATAGCAAAACCAATCAATGTTTTCTGGAAGGAACTGAGATGGCTGATAAGAGAAAATGCATCTCTCTCTCTGCCATTAAGGACAGTGTAAGCCCAAAGTTTCTGGGGATCATCTTTTGCTGCCACATGGGAAAAGTCTGCTGGAGTCCAAAGTTTCCATCTGGAGAAAATCAGAGATAGAAAAAAGTCTGGTGGAAACATTTGTTCCATCACTTTAACCAATATATTTTCTCCCTTTAATTTATAGTTTTGTTTCTATTTATTGTTTTTTGCATAGTTTGAATTTGGTTTCAGTCATTTACCATCAAGTGGATATGCACTAAGAACATTAAGACTGCCAGTAAGTCAAGTAAGACTCAAAATGTAAACTGTATTAATTAGTCAAGAAGATTGTCTCTTTTACTTGAGATTCTAGTTTGTTTGCTGGTTTGGCAATCATAGTATAATAAATAACCAATTTGCAGAGATTATTTGTTATACAGGTTTAAAGTTTCATTAAAATACCAACTATACACTATTGACTAATCCTGTTTCAGAACTGAGTGACACAATTAAAATTACATATATATGACCAATCAATTCTACTCCTACACATATATCCCACAATTGAGTAAATATGTACAACAAAAGATAACCTCAAGAAAGATAATAAATTCCCTGTTTATAATAACTCAAAACTGGAAAAAATTCCAATGATGACCCCTATGATATTCAAACAACAGACTACTATTTAGCAATGATGTGTTTGTTAAACAAAAGAAGCCAAACACAAAGAATATATACTGCATGATATAATTTATTTAAGTTCAAAACCAGGCAAAATTATCTTATTGTGTTTGCAGTCAGGACAGTGGCTATTTCTGAAGCACAGGAAAGGAGGTAAAGTGATTTTACTGTGATGGTACAAATGATCTGGGTAGTGATTACACACATATGTTCATTTTATGATAAATTACATACGTTATTTATTTGCTTTTCTATATATTTCAGTAAAATAAAATATTTATTCTAAATTAATATTTCTCTTATCAGCCATCTCAGTTCCTTCCAGAAATATACAATATACAAAGATCACTGTCATTATCATGTATCAACAATAGTTGATTAGACACTGTATCCAGGGGGCAAAATGGGAGGAACATTTTAAAAAGGTATACTTAAGTATTAAACTAATAAGAATCATGTAAATCTTTTTAGAAACTCTATTAAGAGTATAAGATTCGAATAAGTAGAAAGATACATATCACCTTATAGATGAAAAGATAACAAAGGTCAATTTTCTTCCCTTTAATTAAGCTATAAATTCCATCTAATTCTAATAAAAATGCTACCAATGTCATTAATAGAACTTCTCAAGCCTCTTCTAAATTAATATGGAAGAATAAATGTGGAAAAACAGCTAAATCAATTTTAAAATAATAAGTACACAAAATTTCCCTCATCAGATAGCAGATATAGTATAAAAAGACATACTCAGGCTGCTTCTAATATTCAAAGGAAGAATAAATGTGCAAGAAGAGCTAAGGCAATTTTTTAAAGAACAAAAACAAGATTTTCCTTATCAGAAAGCAAGACCGCATTACTGACGTATAAAAGTCAGGAAGAAAAAGAAAAAAAACTTAAATTTGATTACATAAAGATTAAATTTAAAACTGTTTATACAAGACCCTTAAACAAGACAAACGAGTCACAGAAGGTACTTCTAAAAAGAAAAAAGAGTATTCACATGCTGAATTTATAAGGAATTCTCATAATTTAGTAAGAAAATAAAAGAAACCCCAAATAAGACCAGTTAATTCACAGAAGGAATACAAATGATGAATCATACTGAAAAATAACCAACTTCCAAGGTAAACTAATGCCATGAACAATAAGACGAGATACCACCATTAAGTTGATAAAATCTTGAAGTCCAACAATATCAAGTGTGCAAAGGCTGTAGATAGTCTCAAACGAAGCTAGCTAAACTTAAATTTGTGGAGAAACTTCAGAGAGCAATTTGACATATTTAAAATGACATATACATACCCTACGATTCCACCTTTCCACTTCTAGGTATTTATTCTAGAAAAACATTGGCACATGTAGATGTTCATTTATCCGTTGTTTATAACATAAAAAAAAACAAACACACAAATTATCCGTCCATGATAAGGTCAACTACAGTATATTTACATAAATGAGAAAAAAAGCAAAAAGTTAAATCTTTATTACATTGTTTGAGGCTTATTTTCCCTTTAAATGGAAGACGGGTTAAAATACATACAAAAAATCGCAAAACCTCCTTTTTTTCCTACAAGTTACATAGAGATTCATGTAAATACAAAATAAGTGTGTGTTGGGGGGAGGGGGGTTCTTAAAAAATAAGCACCAAATTGATAATCGTGGAAAGTCAGATCCTAGGAAAAGATATAGAACCAAGCATTTCTTCACAATTTTTAAAGAAAATAGCGTTATTTGCGAATTTAACTTTTTTAAATAACCAAAATTTAAAAAGCAGCCTGGGTCATTTGTTAATATGTTGCCCAGTGGTTGCGGATATTGTCTGGCCTGGAGACGTGGATTCACAAGTCATTTGAGCAAGGATTAAAAGTAAACTAAAGGCTTGATGCCACGGCCGGGGGAGGAAGAGGGAGGGAGTGGGATGGGAGTCTGAAGTGCTGCCACGTATTTTACAGTTCACAGCAACATAAGCTGAAGTACTACGTGATGCTCTTGGATACAGTCTCAAGGCAGAGTTGAAACTGTCAAATCAAAACCCACCCAGCTGACATTCCCCGAGGAACGCCAGCGTCCCCCACCACACTCGCGCGCCGATCCTGCTTCGGCGTCGGGACAACGCGCGTGCGCAAGAGATTACGCAAGCGCGCAGCGTTTGCGCACGCGCACAACCACTCGTCCGCGCATCTCTTCTTGTGCCGAAAGCGATTTGCAGGAGACTGAGCAGTTCCAACAATGTCGGAAATGGCAGAGCTGTCCGAGCTGTATGAAGAGTGCAATGACCTACAGATGGATGTGATGCCTGGCGAGGGTGACCTTCCGCAGATGGAGGTAGGCAGCGGGAACCGGGAGCCATCCCTGAGCCCCTCCCGCAACGGGGCCCCGCCACAGCTCGAGGAGGAAGGCCCAATGGAGGCGGAGGAGGCCCAGCCAATGGCGGCGCCAAAGGGGAAACGCGGCCTGGCTAACCGGCCCAACCCCGGGGAACAGCCGGGCCAGATCGCGGGCCCAGACTTCGAGAGCGAGGATGAGGGCGAGGAATTTGATGACTGGGAGGACGACTACGACTATCCCGAAGAGGAGCAGCTGAGTGGTGCGGGCTACAGAGTGTCAGCCGCCCTTGAAGAAGCCAACAAGATGTTTCTGAGAACATCCCGAGCAAGGGAGGCAGCCCTGGATGGCGGGTTTCAGATGCATTATGAGAAGACCCCGTTTGATCAGTTAGCTTTTATCGAAGAGCTTTTTTCACTTATGGTGGTCAATCGTCTAACCGAAGAACTCGGTTGTGATGAGATTATTGATAGAGAGTAGTTTAATGCAGATAAGAGGAGGAAACTACTTGAGGAGAGACCCAACTTTCCGCTGTTCTTTGGGTTCATTCCAAATCGTTCTGTGGCAATGAAAACTTGATTCGGGGAAAAAAAAAATTTGGTTTTTGTTTTTCAGAATACAGGACAATAGGACAGTGATTGCACAGTTGTGAAAAGACAAAGCATCATGAAAGAAAAGGGGTCTTAAGACTGTTGAAATCTGTTTTCCAAGAATGTCCTGAAACACCTATGGCTTTGACTTTGTTATTGATCAAGATTATTTTCCTTCCACTGGGGAAGATATCTAGTCTGTAAAGAAGGTTTTACAAGAGTGAATCATGACCAAGACAAACTGCCAATACAGGAGCCCACTGATACAAATTCTAAGAGGGGAAAAACAAAAAAAACATACAAGTTATTTGGACTGAAAAACCTGTTGAGAAACTCAAAATTCTGCTTTGTGATCTAGCCAAGTCATGGTTATCAAAGGCTAAATTTGGAGTGTAAGATGAATTGAGTATTCATTTACGAAAGGATAAGTGAATTAAAATATATGTATCACATATGCTATATCTTAAAATGTGTTTCCAAGAGCATCTGAAATTTTGTACGTGTATTTTGATCATTTATAAAACCGTGATCTATTAATTCAGGAAAATCTATTGACATGACTTTTAAAGTAAAAATGTCTTTTTACAAAGTTTCAAATTTTGACATTAAAATGTATGTGAAAGTACCAAAAAGACAAATTATTTCTAATACCCTTATATACTAGGGAAGTTTTGTTTTGCTTGCTGATTTTCGTTTAACTTGACAGGTGAAAGACTTTAGTTGATCTTGGTATTGTAACAACTGTTGGTGAAAATTGTCAAGTGAAAAGAAAGCCCTCTACTTTAAAAAGACTGTATGCACATTAATTATGCTGTCAACCTTTGAAGGTTTTAAACCTGCTCAGAAATTCACCTCAGTATCTGAAGTTTCCCTCTGTCTCCTCCTCTAATTAAACTTGTTATTCCTTATGTACCAGCATTGGAGATAATAAAATTTCTTGTTCTGTGTATTTTGTTTGGCTGTTAGTATTGCATATGTACTTTGTACACTACTTTTTATTGTATGTATCACTACAC